ATAATCGTCCTCGTCCATTTATCCAATCATGAACGCCTTACGAAAAACTTGCTTCTTCTTTGTTTTGGCCGGACATTTTGCTTGAGTAACTTTAATTTTTCTTCTACAGCATAGGGATTTAACAATGCAGAATATAATACAAAATACTGGTATTCCAGCGGCGATACCACCAACAATAAAGTACATTTTCTTACTCATCTTTTTCGTTTCTTTTTCAGCTTCATCCCAAGGATCTAATGTAAAAGCAAACTTGACTTTTGGAGTTGTTGTCTTATTATTAATATCATCTAAGATCGTCGTATGGTTGTTATTGTCAAACTGTTTGTTTAGAAGAGATGAATTGGTCGTTTTCCGATCCGAAATTGTATTGTTTGATGAATAGCAGCAAACTATTAGAAATTCTGCGATTGCATAAATCTAAATTATCATTATTGTTTCATCATTAATAACTCGTCTAGACTTTTTTTAGACGTTCTGTTTTTTTTATCAGGAAGATAAATGCTACTTTAGATATCCTATTCATGAATTTACATTCAAGAAAGCTGATCTACATAGGGAAGAAAAGCTCTATATCAATGAAAACTGCGTTTATTCATTCAGTAAAAGCAAGTCCTTATTGGAAATAATGCAAAAATATCTCTGAGCATCCATTATATTTTCTATTCAGATTTTACGTTAATTGTATATTATAGCAATTTTTCCATTTTAACGCATGCAGTTTTGCTACTCGTTTCCTTTGTCACTCTTCTGAATTGATAGAGAGATAAAGGAAAATAGAGCAGATATACCCTGTTCTTGATTAGAAAAAAGAGGAAGAGTTTAGTCTACTTACCAAGTATAATGTGGAAAATTAGGAAATTTTTGGCAATCCAAGGAAGAGTATATACATTAGGATAAAGGAATTCGTAAAACTTCATGTCATCTCTTGGCTATTCTCCTCTTTATTAACCTTTTAATGATAAAAACTATTCTTTACAGAGTACGACTGCAACAACTTTCTGACAAGTAAACTTGGTCCAAACAAGAAATTATATTAGCATTAACAATCGTTAAAGTAGTCACTACCCTCCGACTTTTAAATTGACTTGAACCTTTTCCTTCTTGAACAGGAGACCAGTCTGTATGGAACGGATGTTAGGTATTGACAAATGGGTAAACTATACATTAGACAATAGCTTATGTACATCTTGTTGGAGGCATAATGCTTGCTATCGGCTTTTTAGAATTCGTTCAATATTGTCTTAAGATTAAAAGCGTGAGAAGTTTCATTCTATCTTGCGCATTATTCATAAGCAAATCTGAGTTGGTTTGTCCGATCAAATAGACTTGAATTTTATTATTTATCATTTGATTATATATAAACTGCAGCAGTTTTCTCCTTTGCTATTAAAATATCAATAAATCACAATGAATAATAAAAATGAAGTAAAGGATTAAGGATGTTAGCCATAGTTTAACAGTTCAAAAACTATTAACTGATACAAAGAATAGATATGAAGGAAGAGGGTAGGGGATGTCTTAATCGCCTTTTATTAAACAAAGATTTCCTAAAGGGGGACCAAAAGAAGAAGAAAAGAAGAGAAAAATCTCATTTAAATAAACTATTGATATACATAAGTGTTGTATCTTTTCCGATTAAACAGCATACTGTATACAGTGCGTTTTAAGCGAATAGATATTTTTTGAAAGTTCTATATATCCAGTATACATATACTGTATATATATATATATATATATCTTATATACACGGTAGACGTGTTTTTCGTATTATATATACTGTGTATATTGAACTATCTAGTTTTATAATACAAAAATACGGATAAAGACGAAGAATATATCCAAGATAAAAAGTATTGAATTGCTTGAATGCAATTGTCTCATTGACACTTTATTTTAATTAGAGAAAAAGGTCACATTCCAATCGATAATTGGAAAATGTCTGTTCACTTGAAAAAACACATTTTACAGGTCAGAAATCGAGTTTAGGTAAAGGATAAGTGCTCTAGTAAATGAAAACATAAACTCAGGCAACTGTTTTGCTGCAACTGGTGCAGCCACATGCAATCAATAACATATCCTTGTTAGCGCATTGGGTTACGCATTACGAAAGTTTACTTCCTTATAAATATTCATTATTCCATTAATTTGTATATATTAGAGAGGAAAAAATTTACATATTTAAATAGGTCAAAGAAATTGACGACTTGAAAGAAGCTTGTTAAATTTCTATACAATACACAAGTATAGATAAAATATGAAAAAGGAAGAGAAATACGAAGAAGAAGAAGAAGAAGAAGAAGCAGAAGCAGAAGAAGAGGAAAAAGAAGAAAAAGCAGAAATAAACAGCAATAAATAAATAAATAAATAGAAAGATTAAGAAGAAAAACAGAATGAAGGAGAAAGTTAAAGCTTATACGGTGAAATGTATGAATTTTTTCAATGATAAATCATTGGTTAGCGAAAGCTGGGAGGCCGCCTCGAGTTAATCTCATATAGTTTGTATATAGCATTAGTTGTCTAAGTATACAACTTTTTGTTTTATCAGTTTCTTTTAATTCGCCCCTCATTTAACACGTTCCGTAGTGTTTTTTATATTTAAATACATACACTAAAAGGTAACATAGAGGGATAAGCGGGAGAAGAACGTGCTGATCTTATTCGGAAAGGAGGCAACAAGCGTGTATTCTATTCCTGGTAATTATATAATCTCGGCCAATTTATATAATTTTACTATTAACTTTAGCATATTTCTTTTAATTTTCTGACTTATTCTGACCTATAGAAAACGTCTAAATAATGAATAGTCTCCACGTGTTTTCATAAATCATTTCCATAGTAGGCCTAAATGTCTGACGTCAATTCTGGTAGGTGTTACGTAAATATCTTTCTGGAATACCAGGAGTTTATTTTTTAGACTGTTTCTTTTTAGTGAAAATTTGTTGTTATGTTTTTTTTCCGCCTCCATTTTGCTATTCAAAATTACTATAAAAGTAAAGAGACTTTGAACAGAAAGAAAGTTTATTAAAGAAATCATTGATCATAGTTCAAAGTTCAAAGTACAATTGTTCACTTGTATATATATATATAGTTTTTCATTCAACTTGAGGTTAATTTTTTAATTTTCTCTTGTTTTCGTTCAAGAGAGTAAAGAGATAAAAAAAATGAGAATATATTAAAAACGATGGCTATAAATATAAAATATATACAAAGAAAATATGCTACATATAGTTTTATTTTCTTTCTTTCTTCCCTCTCTCTCTCTCTCCCTCTCTCTTAGATAATATAAGCTACATAGCAAAATTAATTAAGAGAGCACTTCCGTTAAATAGACTATATTGAAAGTGAGAAAGAAGAGTAATAAAGACGGTTTATATTTATTTATTCGTTTATGTAATAATATGAAAAAGTAGAAAGGAAAAAGAAGAAGGAATCGACGACTAAATAAAGAAATTTTCTATCGAATTATGAAGAGTAAATACAATAAATTAAAGATAACTTTTATCTTTCTTTTGTAACTATTTTTCAACTTATTTTCTTCAATATTCTGATTGAATTTTTATTGAACAAGGATAAAAAGTCGTTAGGAATAGCTCAATCTCAATTTAATAATCAATTTATGCTAAAAATATAGAAAGAACGGAACTATCAATTTTAAAAGGAAAGAACAACATAACCATTAATAAACAATTGTTGAAAATGTTGCCATTAAAAAGTTTTTTAATGTTTATCTATATTATATGTTCTATTAATTCTATAAATAGATATATAGTATAGTTCTTATACAACGTATGAAAACAGATAATTCTTTATGTCACAAAACACGAGAGAAGGTGTTAGCTAAGATTTTTTGTATGTGTATGTATTTTACTTTTGTAGCAAAAAAGAAAACTAGTTAATTTGTGTATTGAGCATTTTCCATGAATAAATTTTGACCCTAATTTAAAAAAGATGAATATACAAGAAGAAGAAGAAGATGGTAAAGATGGTTAAAGGAGATATTAATGAAAAATACGATTTTCTTTCCGTTTTTTTTCTACTTACTCTTCTTATTCTTCTTTTTCTTCTTGTAGTTTTACCGATTAAGTAAAAGAAATTATAGGATTTGCCTTCGATTTAGAAATTAAGAATTATACTGATATTGCCTCTTTCTAATTTCCTATTTAAGAGGAAGGAAGGTCTAATCTGTTTGCATTTTTTTCAGATAGATAGATAGATAGATAGATAGATAGCTAAAAGAGAAAGAGAGAGAGAGAGAGGTATGTAATAAGAGAGCTTTTATAAAAAAAACTATAGTAAGTAGGAATTGGAAATAGAAAGAGAAAAAACTAAATGAAAGAACAAGTTTGATAACGAGAAAATGCATAATATGGCACACAAAAACTCTTACTTCTTCCTAGAGAAATGCATCTATTTTGGAAGAAAAGTATGAATGATTAGACAAACACGATCTTAATAGGGGCAAGCGAATTGGCAGACGAAAAACATGTTTTTTTTCATTATTTTTGCCTTAATAATATCGAGCCAGTCGCACGATAACCTCATTCCTTGACCTGAATTTGTAAATGTTTAAGAAAGTATGACGTCATCTCTACAACTTTTGTTTTGCGTGTGTGTATATATATATGTCTTGTTTATATATATATATACCTCATTTCCCAATTAGACTCTTGTTAATTTGAGGTAGATAGAAATATGCAAATCTGTCATGAAGATTTTTTCCTATGAATTAACGAGAGATGGTAATTTTCCAGAACCTCTGGAGTATGGCACGGACATGTACAAGTCTTTTTCTCTGAATCTGTTTATAAATATACAAGAAATTCCTTTAAGCAATTTATGATAAAGCCTATTTGTTTTTAATATTTCTTTTAATAAGTGTTGCTTAACATTATTCTCTTCATTTACTCATTCATTCATTCATTCATTCATTCATTCCATATCCTGTCTACTTACTTCTTTACCTCCCTCCCTCTCTATTTTCCCTCTAGATAAAAGCTTTTTTATTCGTCTATTACTTCCGTACCTTTTGGGCTTGGCGGACCTAAGGATGTTGGTGAGCCTAGAGAAATTGTTGGTGATGCCTGTCCCGATTTTTGAAGACAACAAGCGTGATGAACCGCTGAATTTTGCTTTGGTAAATAAGAAGAATATTTTAATAAGCTGTAAACTGGATCGGCCGGCAAGTCTGTAAAATGAATGCATAGTGTTTATTAAATACCGCTGTACGTCTTATTATTCTTATACAAACTTTCGGTACTCTCTAACGGACTGTCGCTTTCGTCACTTTCATTAGACATAACTCGTCTTAAGAAAGACTTTTTCAAAGAGGAATTTCGCCTAGGTTTTTCGTCTTTTCCTGATTGATTTGTAAAGAGAAAAAGTAAGAATCTTCGAATTTCTTTATCTTTCTTTCATAAATAAACTTCCGATAAAAATAATAAAAAGACTTAAAAAACTTGAATAAAAGTTTGAACGCGAAAAACAACAGACAGACAGACAGAGATGCAGAAACTCTCTTTCCTTTCTTCTATTTCTCTGCTTTTCTCTCTCTCTCTCTCTATCTTTTTTTCCTCCTCTCTTATTTTTACTCGCTTGTGGCATTTAGCGAAATTACAAATAGCCTAAACTTTCTACCAAGACTGTACTGTGAAGACAGTTAATAGGCCTTTTTTATTCACTTCTACGGCGCTTCAAAGTATAAAGAAGACTTTTGTTTACAAGCCATCTGGTTTAGAGATTTTACCAAAGTGAAAGAAAAATAAAGATCGCTATCGAACGTTTAAAAAATAGAAGAGGGAAGAGGTGTAGGAGTAGGAGTAGGAGGAGGGAGAGTAGGAGAGGCGAGGAGAAAAACAAGAAAGAAGTGGCTACGGTGGCTACAGTGAGGTCTCTAATAATGTTGTTGGTAATAAAAAAAATATTAGAATAGTAAGAGAGACTGATAGTGATAGAGAGAGAGAGAGAGAGTGAGTTAAGGGCTAAAGAGAAAAAAGGACTATAATGATGACTTGAATTGAACAAAAAGAAGAAAAAAGGGAAGGGAAGGGAAAGCAAAAATATTATCACAATATTTATATGTAGAAAGAAATGACTGGGTAAAGTTGAGGAAGAGATATAGTAAGAGTGAGGTGGTAGGGTAATGAAAAGTAGAGTAATTAGGATTTAACCTTTGGTTAGCAATCCAGTAGTATTAGCTCGTAATCAGTAGCTATGTTGTTTAAATAGCAGTAGTATTGACATGCTTCTCTACAGTTCACCAATTCTCCCAAGTGTTTCCTATTCTTTTAAAAGAATGTCTCTTTGATTTCATTCTTTAAATTGATATAATTTTGGGCTATTTTTTGTAATTTTTGACTTTTAGAGAGAATTTTCTAATCCGTTTTGATAAAAAGTATGAAAATAAAAAGATTCAAATTCATACCATAAGTTTATTTCTTTCGAATGAAAAATCTTATGTGTTTTCTCTTGTCGAGTATAAAAATATTTTCTAGGGATCTACTCTAACAATATTTACTCTTTTTTTTTAATAAAAAAAAGAAAGATCAGGAAAAATATACAAGCTACTTTTTTTCGCCCAATTTTCTGACCATGTTACGTAATGGAAGCAAGAAAAGATTTATTGGGAGAAGATGGTTGATTGTAGCAATAAATTAAAGTGAAAAAATACCTCAAGTATCTTAATAGCGACTGTTAGGCAGGCTATAAGTTGGAAGGAGAAACAATAACGGATAGATAGAAGAGGTAAGAGAAAGAGAAAGATAGGCAATAGGAAAGAGGAAAGGAAAGGTAAAGAGATAGACCATGTAATATATGCGAGTGTGTGTATGCGTGTATGTATTTATGGTTGAGTGTGTGTGTGTGTATAAATGAAAGAGAGGAAGAAAAAGAGAGAGAGAGAGAGAGTAGATGAGAGCGCGAGAAAGGAAGGGAAGAAAAGAAAGAAATAGATAAAATATATAGAATAAGGTAAATTAGAGGAAGAAAAAATTGTTATGAAATGAAATTAATAGGCCAAGAGTATTCTATCCAATTGTATATCTTTGTTCGCTAAAATAGTGATAATTGAAAAGAGATATGGATCAATTTGATAAGGCATGCCCCTATAATTATTAATCGAAAAGGTAGGATTAGTTTACTTTACCGCAATTATTAGCCTTCTCTTTATCCTTCTCTTCTTTACTGTCCGATCTTAACGTTCTCACAGCCTTTTTCCACATCTCTTTAAGGCTCTTTTTCCTTCTCAACCTCGGTTCATCTTGCAAATCGATCTGTTTAATAAAGATTTGTACAGTTTTTCCTCGGCACGCTTAAAGGATTTTTTCAACTGATACCGCACTATCTGTCTGGCTAGCTGCACCGCCAGCCATTAATGTAGAAATTCTAAAGCAGCACCTATACCGCACTACTCGGCACCAACTTTTTGACTAGTCATCATCTTACCAGTTCTATTCGGCTTCTAGAAGAGAGGTACATTTAACCTCGGATTATATGCCCTCCTACTTATTTATGCATATGTTTGTCAGAAAAGTTATGCTTGTTAAACAGGTGCTAAAAGTCAGTTTGCACCGGCTATTTTCGCTCAGAATTTAGTTTCTTTTAGGTGCCTGGACCTATTACTTTCTACTTGTTTTAAAGAAACAATCATATTTTATTCTTAATAAATATAATTGAAATGTTTTACATCTGTTCACCTTGACATACTCCCTCCCTTTCCCTTGTAATAATTATATAATGCGTAAATGTTATTTACATATGTATAATATACATTTGGGTGCAGATACATACGGTAAATATACAGAAAATGTATACTGTGTATAAATATAATATCTACAGAAAGGGAAAAAAAATAAAACCAAAGTGCTGACATCTGTCGAATTAGTTGTTCAAAGGGCTAATAGGAAATTTTATCAGTCTTATCTACATTTACATTTCAGCGCTTCAACTTGTTCTTTTACTTTTTTTTTTATATAAAAAAAACAACAACACTTTCAATCTAAGCTTTTGCTCCCCATAATTTTTTGCATACTTGTCTTTTATATATATACGTTTTTGAGTCTGATATTAAGATATTTACAGTTACTCATCAGCTCTTATACAGTTATAAATTTAGTTGAAAAGAAAAAGAAAAACTATAGGCCTATAATAATCTTGTTTATTCCAATAAGAATAATACTTATAGAAACAATAAAGCGAAATTGGTTTATTTATTATTCGTTTGATTTTGAAATTGTGTTAAAATTAATCCAATTCATATAGAAGTTTTTCATATCCTTTCTTCTTTCGTTCTAGGTCTAAACTTCCAAATAAATCAGATCAATAGCTTAAATACCTCTTTAACTATATATGTATATACTGTATATTATATGTATCATTATAGGCTACTGTTAATGCTTGCTTGATATATACTGTATATGCTTCTTTTTCAACATTTGTCCTTCACCTTAAAAAATTCCGAATAGGTTCTCAGGGTCTGCTTTATATTGCTCTCGCTGAGACCGTATTCCCCTAGCACTGTCGGATTACTCTTTGAGTTCTTGTGAGTCGCTAAATAATTGGACATTGCTTGCCAGACTTCAGGGATCATATCCATTCCTAAATGTTGATAAATATAATTTACGGTTTCCATAGGTTGCTTAACTAAATCGTCAAAATAGATATCAACGAATCTAGGATATTCTTTATGATATAAACTGGCATTCATTCTCCATTCAACTAGTTTTTTACTATCATGATTTAAGATGTCCATAATTCTCATACCTGTTCCTAGTTTATCATCATTAAAATACCTATGGCAACTTTTTGAATTCAGGTGATGTAAAGTGCATGCCGACTTTACAAGGCTTACCGAATCTCTATGTATCGTAATAATTTGAGCATCGGGAAAAGTCTCTAATAGAGTTTCCAAATTGGCAGACGAAACGTGCAACATACCCATTAATCTTCTATTAATCATATCTGAAAGTAAAAAAGAAACATGTCTAAATATAGGTTATTTGTATATATAATGAATAAAAGAAATAACTTTACCACTATTTTTGCATAGGACTTGCAAATTTGTCTTTAGGTTTTCATCATAAATTTTTGTCACTTTTTTATTTCTATTCCTTATGAAATTAGTATATTCTTTGCTTAGCATAGTATTATTCATAGGTATAGGCTAAAAAGAGCAAAATAGAAAGAAAATAAAGAAAAATATATGAATTTACAAGGTAACTTGTATAAATAAATACGTACAAATTTCATATCCATGTGATAAAGCAATAGAAAATCTTCAGGTTTTTCAGGATCAAAATTATGAGTCCTTTTTATTTCATCCCAGCCCATAATCGCCGCTGCAAATTCTGATAAAAGCATCAATATCTTTTAGTTATACTAATTCTCAATGCGTGTAAATTAATTTTCAGAATACTACGATGACTAACCCCATTTTAATTGACATCTCTTAATTCTCACTTGATCGTTTTTATCGCCTGGAGGCGGAGCGAAATCTTCTAGTTCCCATAGCTTTGGACATTTCCATCTATGATCATTTTCCAGAAGACAGTGTAAAAATGTGCTACCAGTTCTGATAAGCGTTATAATGAATACAGGTCTGTTTAGAGGAACTTTACGAACACTTGGATTTGCCATAATGTAGTTCTTTACTCGAGCTCTCTGCTCTAATAGGCCACTTATCCATATTTTAGCAAATAATCTGGATGAACAGGGATTTTCAATTCTATCCGTATTGTATTTAAAGAGATAATTCAGATTTTCAATTAGATAATCATTACTCAATAAATCGCTGGAAGCCTCTTTGGAGATGTTTGAGCAAAGAGTTTTAATATTTAAGGTTATGAGGTTGACTTTAAAATACGCTAAAAGATCAGACAGCAAATCGAAAGCTATCTTCCATAAAATAATGAAGAATCTGAGAACTTTGTTCATAGTTACTGAAATCTCTTTCTCTTTTTCGTTACGTTCAAATATTGACAGAATCTGACGATGGCGGAAATATTTTCTCCTATGATGTCTATTCCTTAAAAATGTCCGGTCATTTCTTATTTCTACTTGTATATGTACAATATATATATATATATATATACTGTTATATATATATAGTGTGTGCCTTGGTGCACTAGCTACAAAATAAGGCCCGTTATCTCTTATCTTCTCTAAACTACCGGTGTCCTCACAGTGCACTAAAAGAGTTCAGATTTCGGTGTCTGAACACTTTTAAGAAAATCTCTGCATACATTTTCTATCGAAAAGAAATAAGAATTTTTTCTCATCAGCTGAATAGTCTTTTAGCTTTTTGCTATACATTTACAGGGTTGTTATATTTTTCGCATGATAAACTACGTAGTAAAGAGACTTCCTACCCCCCTTAAGCCTATTTTTTTTGTTTGTTACAACAGTTTCGATTGAAACGGAGATTATTAAAAAAAACACCAAAAAATGGTCAAATGTAAGTGCTCGTACACTGTCTATACGGATTTGTGTACTATTTCTTCTTGTTGTTTGAAATTATTGATGGATATCTTAAAGGATGTTGTAGGCTGTAGGTATTTTTTATAAAGGTCAACTGTTTTCAACAACTGAAAGGTATAACTGAAAGGTATCGGATTAGAGATATATAGGACGAGCATACTGTTTTTATTTTGCTTTGATGTCATTTGTCGGATGATGAATGATTCAGTAAACGTTTAACCATTATCTCGCAGAATCACAGTTTTTGCTGCGTATAAGTTAATATATATGAGAAATAATATACTTATCACTCAGATATTCTGTATAGTTTTTATTCGAAAAAAGAAAAAGTGGGTTATGTAGACTTCTAAGTGTAATTTTTGATAGAAGGATGTAATTATTATTGTTGAGAGGGTTAAGCCGTGGGTTTTAATGACTTAGATCAATAAAAATAGGAAATAAAATTGACAGCTACAATTGTCGAGTTACCTGCAGGTTATTGATTGGATATGGATAAAACATGGCGATTTGTTGAAATGATCAATAATCTCCTAGCTACTGTCTGTTTGAATATTACAAGTAACGGTTGAGGGAAGATCTAATAATACGTAGGATTTATGCTATAACCTTGAAAAGAGAGAAAAACGAACAAATGAGTGTAAAATCAAGACCGACGACTGCTTCTACTACCGTTACAAAGAGCAGTAAAAGCAGTAACAAAGTTTTTGAAGATGAGAAGAAGCAGGACATTCCCTCTGGTAGAAAAGGAATAATTTACGACGGTTCGTCTTTAAATAGAATAAATAAACAAACAAATAAAAGCATGTATTGATTGTTATTATTGCGGGCGTGTTTTTTTCCCTAGGACCAGACGGTATCTGGCATCATAGAGTTCGAGTTGAACAGCCTATGTTTATCGGAGAAACAGCCAGATCAGGACAAATTACGAATTCAGTGTCGTATTTGTTTAAGGCGGCTCCAAACGCTTCATTTCCGAAAGCGAAGAACGGCAGACCAGGAGAAACTGGATGGGAAGTGGAAAGAGGTTTTCCACGTATGGTCAATAACCTCTGAGAATGGCAAAGAAAGTATTCCTTGACAAACTAAAACAGTATTATTAGTATAAGCAAAAGAAAATTGAAGAGAGTATAAAGCATTTTCCCCAGTCATAAAGTTTTAATGATTTAATTATTGATTAGAAAAGATAAAGATTTTAATGAATAAACGAATTAATGATCAATGAAATTTAAGCAAAATTCATAAGCTATATAAAAACTTAATTACCCTGCTTGATATTCTTATTATTATTATTATTATTATTGCTCTTTTGTACGGAAACTGTCGCAGTTTGGATTTATTACGTTTGTTGTTAGAGGATAGTTGAAGGAAAAGAAGGGCGAGAGAGATTGAATATTAGGTATATATATATATACAGCATATATATATATATATAAGCATTTATATTCACCATATATCTATACACTGTTCTATGACTAAGTATATTAAGAATTTACAGTTTTAGTTCATACGTTAATTGGTCTTTTTTTATTCTTTGTACAAGCATAATAAATCTCCGTATAATAAAATATAAATATATATAATACATATATAATTTATTGCTTAACCCTTAAGTTATTTCCAAACAATTATTAATTTACTTTCTTGAAAATAGTAGATGATAATAGACAAATGTAGGACATTGACACGTATGTAGAATATCTTATTATACAAGTATGTATATAAAAAAAAACCCCTCTATCTATCTATCTCTTCTGTCTATCTCTCTATCTCTGCCGCTGTCCTTCTCCTTCTCTTTATTCCTTTCATTTCTTTAGATTATACTCTGTTTTACTTTTCTTTTCTTATCAAGTATATGTATATTTATATATATACCCTAAATACATATATTGTATTTAGACGCTTTTGTTCCATGGTGACCGCGTCATCAATTTTCTTTAGACTAGAAAGGTATACTAATTGAGTAGTTGATTTTCAAGAAGGTTTCTGCTTATATAGTTGTTGTTTTTTGTTAGTTTCTAAAGAACTATTATGCAATATGATCAATATCTATTAGTATAAACTAAGAATTATTGAAAATTCTTTTATTTTGTTCCAGAAAAACTAATAACACTTCTAGAATTCTCTCAACTCGAAGAGATTTTTCTTTTCTGCTTTTCTTTCCTCTTGTGCCCTTCCCTCTTCTTTAAAGCTTTCGGAAACAAAAGAGTTTATCGGCACTAAATTTCGTCATAGATCCCATGAATATTAATAATTTGTGAAGGAGAATTTGGAATTGGGATGGAAAGAAATTAATAATAATCCTCTTTATTTTTCCTCTTTCATTCTATTCCCTGCTCTCTTTTTACCCCCTGCACTAATTTATTCTCTTCCTGGATCCCTTGTCGTTCTTTTCCATGATAAAAACGGTCATTATCCTCCAATCAACAAGATAAGCTTAAACCAAATAAACCAGTTACAAAAGCTTATCTTCCTGAAGTGCTAGTTGAGTACCAGCTGCGTAATCGTCAATATTCAAATATGTTTTTCACAGTAGAAGGAACTATCATTATAAGAATATCCATTAAAAGTTTTCTTCTATAACAGTTCAAAGATTTATCTTAATCGCCATAACAACAATTTGTTTATTAAGCACGTTTCTCTTCACTTTTTCTTTCTCATTGGGTACCAAACATCTGGTTATGGACTAGGCTAAGCTAGCAAAATGGATGAGAAATCTGTTAAGTCGCGTTCATTATCCCTTGCTCCAAAGTGTTCCTTAGCCCCAGGAGGAGGTGCGTCCAGTAAAACTGAGAATAAAGTTGTTATTAACGTTGGAGGTATTCGTTACGAAACTTACAAGTCGACACTTAAAAATATTCCCGATTCCAGGTTGTTTATACTCTTTTTTTTTTGGCAATCTACTATCTTAACGTTAAAGAACGTATTCTTTCGTATTCTTTTTAGACTTTCATGGCTGACTGAAACCACTACTCAAAATTGCGACTATGACCCAACAACTGGAGAATACTTTTTTGATCGGCATCCCGGAGTGTTCCTAATGGTTTTGAATTACTATAGAACTGGAAAGCTACACGCCCCAACCGATATATGTGGGCCACTTTTCGAAGATGAGCTTAACTTCTGGGGTATTGATGAAAACCAGATTGAACCTTGCTGCTGGATGAATTATAGAACACATAGAGATGCTCAGGATACTCTAAGGGAATTTGATGGTGGTAAGTTTTTTCCCTTCCATAATATATCTATAGAGGATTTATTAGGAGTACCTTAATCGTTCTCACCCAAGGTGACTTTGAACCTAGCGAAGATGAAGAAAGTGTAAGTATTGCCCAAAGATTTGGTCTGTCAGAGGATATTATAGAGAAGCCTTTAACAAGATGGCAACGGACAAGGGAAAAGTTATGGGCTCTCTTGGAAGAGCCATATAGTTCTAGAGGTGCTCAAGTTTTTGCTTTTACTTCTCTTTTCTTTGTACTCGTCTCTATTCTTGTATTGGCGTGCGAAACGCATGTAATTTTCCGTGTTGGAAATGATAATGGATCAACAAATCCGAATTGGACAATTAGAGAAAAGAATAGTAATTCAAGACCTCATTTAGCCCTGAAAATCATCGAATACGTCTGCGTCGGATTTTTTATTCTTGAACTAACTGCAAAGGTTGCAATGACGTAATTAGTTTTTATTAGCCTAATAAAGGAAATTAGCATATCTCTTTAAGTTCTCTCTCTCTCTCTCTCTCTCTGTCTCTTTATATATATTTATATATATGTGCATATAATTACGCTAAAATGGAATCTTCTTATTAAGTATATTATATTAGTAATAAGTTAATAGATTAGACATTTTTATTCATTAAAAATGAGACACTTGGGCTAATTATGTCTCTGCAACAAAAAAAAATAAAACCACATAAAAAATGAAGATAATCGTTTCGAAGAAATTAAAAGAATTCTGCAAATCTCCTCTTGTTTGGGCCGATATTTTCTCTATTGTTATATTTATAATTGAAAAATTATTTATGGTGCTAAAGCTCAATGTCAATTACGATGTACTGCAATTTTTAAAAACAGCTAGAATAATACGTATTGTGAGGATATTCAAGTTAAACAGACATTTTAGTGGCCTCAAAGTTCTTTGGCATACGCTGAGAGCTTCGGCAAAGGAGTTGGTCTTGCTTCTCATTTTCCTCTTTCTTTCTTGCATTGTATTCTCATCATTGGTCTATTTTGCGGAATCGGTAGACGATCCCGCTAAAAATGACTTTAAGAATATTCCAGTAGCTTTCTGGTGGGCTGCCGTAACACTAACAACAATTGGCTACGGTGATATATACCCTCGGACAGCTTTAGGATACATAGTAGGAATGGTTTGCGCACTAACAGGGGTTTTAGTATTGGCCTTACCTGTTCCTGTAATTGTCAACAACTTTGCATCATATTATAGTCACGCCCAAGCGAAATTAAAGTTACCAAAGAAGAGAAAGAAAATCCTAGTTGGAGCGGCAGACGCTCTGAAAACGCAAACTTCCTTGCCCGAAAGTAGTATCACTACAGAAAATTCTATCATTCAGAATAAAACCGACGGTAACTTGCTAATTAGTATTAAAAAGCTATTTATAAGGATTTTCATTTCACTTTAAAGCTAATGGCAAATTTCTACCCGAATCCGAATCAGAAAAGAGCGGGAACAGCGGAGTTATTAGCGTTATATTTACAGATGAATTTTCAGTGTCACCAAAACGCAAGATTGGTTCTCCTACTCTTAAAAAAACTGAAGAGAAGAGAAGAAGAAAGCCTAGCATTACACCAGTTGATATATATCAAAATGGTAATCCGCCCATTTCAAATGGAATAAGTAAGTGTTACTTGTGACTTGTACATTATTCATAATTGAACCAATTTATATCTTCGTATACAGAAGCAGATAAGAAGATAGCAAGAAGAAGATCTCTCATGCCATTGAATTAATATTCAACATCGTATTAAATAATCAGTAATGTTTAACAATACAAACAAATCTATATATAACACCAATATAGTTTTCCATCTGATCTTGACTTTTTCTTATAAATACGCTATACCGTGGAGTAGATACGACTACAGTTTCATTATATTGTATATAACGGGAGATTTGTGAATATTATGAAATGTATCATTTAAGGAATGATGTAAAGCGTCTTTTCGTATAAAGAAAGAAAAACAAGAACAAAGAACGAAGAAAGCGTTGATAAAGTCAGAATATCTTCTTTTTCCTTTTTCTCAGTTAAAAGTTAATGTACACAATGCAATTTAAGATGGCGCTGGGTATTTCCTCTTTTCGCCTTCTTTTCTCTTTACGATAAACTTTCCCATATTATTCGATACGGTTAATCTATTTAATTCTCCTTTTATCTCTTCTACTAGCAGATTATGTCTTCTCCTTTTTATAAACCTTTATTACCTCTCTAAGTCTTCAATTCCCTTTAGTCTTTTTTTTTCTTCAATTTCATTTTTTTTATTTTAGTTTAAACCTAAACCCGAATGAATGACTCATTATATTTATTCATCTCATCTCTGTGTCCCTCACTCTTCTGTCTCCTTTCTGTCTGCTTCCTTTTCTCTCTCTCTCTCCATCTTTCTAAATTACTTTTCGGTAGAAGAAAGATGGCGCCACATTAGATGTTGAAAAAGAGAGTACTCTAATGATTTGTTGTATTAGGCTACTTGTGAAAAGGTGTGTATTAATATAGCTTATAAACAAGATATGAACAAGAGAAAACAACAGAGACAATTGAATGTCATTTTTGCTCTCCTCTAATCTCAAAGTAGTATAAATACAGTGGAAAAAAGCTAGTTGGAACTATAACCAGATGCCCTACGTGACACGAATAATTTGAGAAAGGGGGAAGGGGGAGGAAAAGGGAGGGGTGGAGGGGCCACGCTCAAGGAATGAAGGAAGAGGAGAGTGTATGTGAAAAGTCGGCATAATGCTTTTGATGAGCAAATTGCTTTTGATAGGAAAGCTATGAAGAAAAGTTTCAAAAGTGGTAGGAATAAAAGAGCAAATGGTCTCTTAACAAACAACAGAGTTAAATCGTTAATCTATTCGTTTATACGCTTGACCTTTAAAAAATTTTCTGCTAGTTACTTTTAGGATAAATTATATATGACTTTGGGTGATAAAATTGATTGTATTTGAAGGACATTGGAGTTTCCTACAGTGCATGTGTAAACAATTAAGCGGCTTATTTTATTGATGTCATTGTTGTTGATGCTGTTATGATTGTTGTTGCTGTTGTTGCAGTTTCCTTAAAGCGTACAATTTACTTTTCTTATTAAATAAAGAGATTGTAAGAATTAAAGAAGAAGAAATTATTTTGTTTTTTCTTATAAACTTGCTAAGTATCTTTATTTCTTCATTGTGTTTCTCTTTGACCTTAGAGGAGAAGATGAGTATTTTTTTATATGTATCTATATTTTACAATAATCTAAGTTAATCTACGATCTGAAGTAATAAAAACCTTTTTCATATCTCCTTCTTTTCTACTTTCTTTCTTTCTTTCCTTCTCTCTCTCTCTCTCTCTCTTGTTTATTTTTTACAAACTCTTTAATTAAGAAAATGAATTGTGCGCATAAAAAAATAAATAAAGAAATGTTCGTACAAAACGGGCGAATTGGCCTAAGTATTAGCTATATTCGGAGCAGAGAGGAATATAGCCAGAGTGGATACTGCCATGTAAACAGCCGACACCCATAAGCAAAGTCTATCTATAACCATGGCGGCAAATTTCCAATCGTTTATCTCCTCTGAGGCTTCGCTATCGTGCTTAATTTTATGTGTTATATATCTTAGCTCGTTAAGAATGGCTAAGAGTTCGTTGCGAACAGATGCAAAACCTCCTTCTTCGACTCTAATTGATCTCAGGGGAGGAAAGTCGTTTAATGGAATCGCATTGTCAACGTCCTTAACATTGGACAAGAGGCTTAGGGATGGTGGATAGCGGGTTTCAAGTTCGCGCATCTTGGCTTTACGCAGAAGGAATTGACGAGAAATATCTTTACCAGGACGTGACATTCGAAGAATCCAGGCCAACCATTCACAAACTGTTTTTCTTATCTAAATATTTCAAAGAAAGAGAACGAAAGAAATAATAATTGAATAAAATTTCTTATTCAATTAACTTACCCAACTGGGCATTTCGTACATATCTGGATTTCTATGGTGAAAATTAAGAACTAGTACGGTCATTATGACCGATACCGAACACATAAACATAATGGCAGCAAAGTAAACACCTATAAAGGGAAAAAGAGAAGGCGAGCATATAATAAAGATATTAATATGATATATACAATATATATATATACAATATATATACTGTATATAGATGTGTATATATTTAAAATGTTATATTATGAGATCAAAAGAAAGAAATTATCTCCATTATCATAAGCAGAAAAAAATGAAACAAGACTTAGAGGTTGAGAGGTTAGATAGGGTTTATTTTCTTTTATTTTACTTGTATTAAGTAAAGCAAGAGCCATCATTCTTTGTATATAGTTTATTTTCAACCACAGCCGAAAGAAACTAATTATCATACCGTACCATACTGGTTAACTTAATAAATAGACGATTGAACGTGATTTGCTGAAAGATGAATCTATTTATTTTTATGTTTCTTTTTTAAATACTTTTCTATGTCTTTTAATCAAAAATACAGTTTCGAAAGGTGATTGATAGATGAAGAAGCATGAGAGGGGTGGGAGAAAGGTAAAAGGAGGAGCAGGAAGAGGGAAGAGAATGGGGGGAGAGGGAAGAGTGATATGTAAAAGAGGCAAAAGTCAAAATAATGACTAAACGTCAAATTTCGTATATATCCAACAGCTGTGTATGATACAGGCTTCTGCTTTTGAACTTTTTATTTTACTTTCTCTTATTTTCACACTATTATTGTTGTTGTTATTAATTAAGGAGTAATTAATTACTAAGTTATTACCTACTAACGGAACAGCCAAAGATGTCGCTGGAACTGATTCGGATACAATTAGGGAAAGAACGACCAAAGACATTAGTATTGTTATTCCTGCAATAATCAAATAATTAATATATTGGGTTAAAAGATTTCAATTAGTTTGTTTTGAATGTCTTTCGAAAGATTAATGTAAACTGCATGGTAAAAATAGCTATTTCTGTTAATTATTATTAATAAAATATATAAATATATATGATTGATTAGGGTGAGAAAGTAAAATTTGAAACGTGTTGAAAATACTTCAACAACTGAAATAACAAAATAGTATTGATTTCTCCCTTTTCATTTCTCTTTTTCATTTCTCTTTTTAAATTAACTATTATTATTAATATTCGTTATTATCATCTTAATCTCTTCTTCTTTCTTCTCTTTTCGTAAAGAAATTATATTTGTTACTTGTTACAAAAGATTTGTCTCTCTCTCTCTCTCTCTATCTTTCTCCTCCGATCCTTCTAATTTACGAATACTTATAGATATACAGTATACATAACTCACACACGCACACACACACACACACACACACACACACATGCATACTTCCTCTCCACTTTCTGACATTAGCAGACTTCCTATCAATTTTTTTCTTAAAATATTAAAGAAAGTTGAAGAAATAACGTCTTTCCTGGAACTTTTCTTTCTTCGAATAAGTTAAATGTTTCCAAAAGTTAAAACTTATTGAAAATAAACATACTGTACTTATAATATACAGTATATACTCAATTGTTTACTATATATAGTATAATGATATTCACACATTTGCTACATAATATACTTATATACAGTATATACATTATATATATATATATATATATATATATATATATTTATCTTATCCTCTAACTTGGCATCTGTAGCATACACAGCTGCTCAATGCCTTTTTTCTCCGAATTATTCTTTCCCAAAACTTAGCCACCACCCGTCTAGCTCCTTATCCCAGTATGATGTTTTTTTTTCTCTCTCTTCTTCATTTATTTATTTGATATAAGCAAAGAAAAAATTTGTTTCTCCATTATTCATTTTGATAACAGTAATAAACAAAAAGTAAATATAATTAGCAATTGAATATTTTTAAAACTCTGAAACACATAGTTATTAACTTATTAAAACAAAGAGAGACAATCACCGAAAGAGAGCGAGAGAGAGAAAGAGAGAAAGAAAGAGAGAGATGGATGGATAGATAGATAGATAGATAGACAGACAGACGGATGAATGGATAGAGAGAAAGAGGGAGAAATATTAAGCACCACTGCAAAAATTTCTCTTGTCAAGCCGAAATATTCTTAAGAATTACCGATAAGAGGAAAATTAAGAGAAGTATGAGGAGTAGATTCGGTTACAACAAGACTGAAAACTCCCAGAGATAATAGGATAGTAATTCCTGAAATAGTTTACTTACTCCTCATATAAACAAATTTATAAGTGGAATTTTGCACTATGCTAAACTACTTACCTAAAGAGATCTTCTCTCCAGCATCCGGAGGTAGCAGAAATGTTAGCAACGTTAAAGATGAAATAAGGGCGCATGGAATGATAAGATTGAAACCGTAGTATAACGTTCTTCTCCTAATATGTATCGTAAAAGTAATGTCAATGTACTCTTCGGGACAACATTCGTATCTGATAATGTTACGCTTGGCGGGAACTTCTAGTAAGATCCATTCTCCACTATGCTGATAGGTTTTCGTGTCTTTTATCGGAATGAAACAAAATCTTGAATACACGTTAATGAGTACTTGGATATAAAATATCATAATACAAACAAAGCATATACACAATACTAGTAAGTAAAGTATATTAAAGGTGTGGATGATGTTTATTAAAGAAAATTTAATCTACCTATTTCGGCGCTCTTTGATGTTAAATTAATCTTTGAACCGTCGTAAGTCCAACTACCAAATTTCAGCTTACAATACTGATCATCGAAGGGAAACCATTTAATGTTTATGGCACATGAGCTGATGTAAAGTCCTAAAGGAATCCAATTGCATAATCCAGTACTATAAACGACTATATTCGTTGGGAATTTACTATCTATATCTTCATCTGCACTGTTTTAAGAAGAATTTTATCAGCCTAGTTTAATTTATCTCCAATATAAATGCACAAAAATTGAGTTTACAAATGTATACATAAAGAATGTACTGTAAATATGAACGATTATTTGTGTACGGTTCTAGTTCTTGTGCTAGATATTCAACTCAACACTCTCCTCAGAGGATAGACAACAACTCGTAGACCCTAGTTAACTTTGACACAATCTTCTATATGTTAGTTGGTTCATTAACAACATTGTGATATTCTAAATAACAGAAGAATCCTCTTCAGCCCTAAACCCTAACAAAGCTGAAGCTCTTAACCTACTTTTATCAACTTTCTAGCCCTTATCTTAGACCCAACTAACTACAAATCAATAGTTATCATATTTTTCTTAACCCTACCCCGAAAATCTATTGTTATGGGATATTTTATAAAGATTCATGTTATATAGGCTAAACCTTAAAAAATCTTGTGTGACAGTTAAGTTGTCAACAAATTTAATTATCTTTTCAGTTGTAATATTTATTGATCCGACAGTTTGAGGGTTGAATGTCTAGATGAGAAACAAGAACTTCATAATATATGTATATATATATATAAGTGAATATCAGTGTAATTGTAGATCAGATACATGTACTGCGCTGTTATATAGATTTACAATAATACACTAAATGCAGTACAATGACTATCCGACAACTCTACATGCTTTACATACTGTAATATGATATATTGTATGTATCGCTTATTACATTACATTAACTATATAAACAATGGTCAGTCTAGATACAGTATACTCTTAGCATATACTTTATATTTTGGTTTATATCTCTTCTTTAGATATTCCAGAAGAGAATGATGTATTTCTTTTTTACATGATGGATAAAATAAATTATGTTGGAAACATCTCTCTTTTTAGGGCGTCTAACATTCCTCCCTCCCCCACCCGTCAATTCTGTCTACTATTCTTTTTTTATTCTTTATTTCGCTTTCCTTCTTCTTCTCTAAACAATTTAGTAGGCGAGAATATGATAAATAAGTGTAAGGTCATCGAGAGAGACACGCTGAAATGAATGATTCCCTTAGCGAGGTTTTAGTATCCTTCTTTTAATGTTTAACGGGAAACAAGGAACGAACGATTATGAATGAAAGTTGTTTTTTGTTGATATTCCTCTTTTTTCTAGCTATTTATACAGTAAATAGAAGTATGAGTAATTCGATTACAGGAAGACGACGAAATTACCCGCTGCGCTATCTTATTTACATGGAATCATTTTTCCTGATAGCTAGAAACATCTATCAGCTCGTTTAGGAAGCAAACAACATTATAGACTTTTTTCTAATGAGAATACATCTACCTTTACAGAAGGAAGAAAAACTCTTTTCTATCTCTATATACAAATTTTCTTATTTGTTCCTGCTAATTATGCTCTTATTCTCATTATACTAGTCAAAAAATTGTAAAAAAGCGTGCATTAGCTTCTAACCTGTTATATAATAATATATCTGGAGTCCAAACTTTTGTACTTGGTAATCTAATGCTCTCTACGCCACCGTAGTCGCTTGAATTCCATCGGAGATTATAGTCTGTCCATTCCTGTAATAAATCGTTTAAAGGTGAAACAGGGGAAGAAAACGATAAGTATCTTTTTCCCCCATACAGCAAAGTTTCTATTACAAAAAACAAATGAGAATTCCTTTTTCTTTCAGCGTCTTCAATAGTTTGGTGGTGAATAAGAGAGAATAAGATACTTACGTAGTTGAGCCACATATTGGTGTGAAGCATCTCGTTCTTTTCATCCTACGGAAAGGAATAGAGAAACAAACAACCAAAAAAGATAAACTAAAATAATTCTTTTAGTAAAATAGTAAAAAAGGAAATGTCGGCCTACCACATCTACAATCTGTTGAAGAGTAAGACCAAACTTGATATCTAACGCTTCATTTTCATTTTCCACCGGCCTTGCAAGTTCGCTATACCTCCTTACATGGAAGATATCATTAATCAACTTTTCTTCATGACGACCTCCCAAAGTAACTAAATTGTTGGGTAAAGAGTAAATTGAATGATTATCTGCTTAAGTGGGGAAAAAAAAAAGAAACAAGCTGGAAAATCGAAAGAAAACTGTGTTTGGAGAATTTTAAATGGATGAAAAAAATTTAAGCGATTCTCTTGAGGCGTC